CGGAATCTGTTCCCAAGAAGAATTTGGGGTTATCCACAGCACACTGAAGCAATTTTTGCCTGTCAGGCTCGGTTTTAAGGATCGGTAGACAATAGAAATGCGGGTTGATGCCACCCTTGAAAATAGCATTGCGGTTGTAACAAAGATGATGTGCTGTAATGGTGGCTGCCACGTTTGGCCCAGCCTTTTCCACGAAGCTGGCTACTGCCCCCGAGGTGATGTGCTCGCACACCACACGCAGGTTTGGACAACGACTGACAAGCATTGGCATCACTGTCTCATAGAAGCTCTGCTCACGTTCAAAGATATCCACTGCTTGGTCTGTGGATTCGCCATGGACCAAGAGAAGTAGCCCCACTTCTTCCATCTTCTTCAAGGCCGGCATTATCTTCTCATAGTCTGTGACTCCGTAATCAGAGTTCGTAGTTGCACCAGCCGGATAGAGCTTCACAGCATACACATGGCCACTCTCCTTTGCTTTCATGATCTCTTCTGGCGTAGTGTTGTCGGTCAAGTATAACGTCATCAAAGGAATGAAGTCTCCCTGTTTCACTTCCTTGGGAACACGAAGCAGGATTCGCTCCCTGTAAGCAAGCGCGGCAGCAGTCGTCGTCACAGGTGGGACCAGATTTGGCATCACCAGCACTCGACAGAAGGCTGCAGCGGCATGAGGGACTGTGTGCTCCAAGTATGGCTCATCTCGGAAGTGGTGGTGGAAGTCATCGGGCTGCAGGATCTTGATCTCCTTGACGTCCGCCATGCTTCCGCTCAGGGACCTCCTTTGTGCCCCTCGTTTCCTATTCTGAAAGGTAAAACAAAGCATGCCTCCTTGTCCTAGCTCGGATGTTGTTGAGCCTGCGTATTGCTGTTATCCACAGACTGTCGGCATACTACCTAGTGCTGAGCCTCTCAAATCTGCAGCGATGATCATTGAGTCGACACTCCGAAGCACTTCAATTCAACTGAATCCCAAGACAATCTCAGGAGCTTCCTGGTCTGCATCTCAGCCACTCTTGCTGATCCGCAGCCTGCGCAGCCCTGGCTGTGCGCAGGAGGGCAGCGCGCAGTGCAGGGGGCGGACGCCATGACGGAAGGCTGGCCGCCAGGACTGCAAGCCTTGCTCAGCCACAAATTCAAAACAAAGGCAACGGATCTCGTTACGTGTCACTCATGCCAAGGCAGCAACATAGACAAGGTGGCAAAGCTGACATGCTCGGGGCGTGCTTTCCAGAGCCGCACAGAGTCCATCATCACCTCGCTGACATGAAGGCAAGCTGACACTTGTTCACAAGTATGGGGCACAGGCCAGCAAGAGCGAACGGAGGGCCGCCGCTGTCGCCAGTGCTTCTCCGCAGTCCAATACTGCTTGCAGTGCCTGGGGCTTCTGCTCATCATCCCTCGCCAAAAGAAGTACGAGCCTTGGACAGTTGCACTGTCAGGCCTCTTCGACTGCTGCAGTGCCACCACCAAAGAGGCGGCCACGCTCGACGGTGCGCCGTAAGAGGCTGCACTTGAATGAAAGCTGCTCTGACCTCAGCATCAGCTGAACACAGGCCCTTAAGCTGCAGTGTTGCTCAGCGGCTGACGTAGTGATTTTTGCCTGGTAAGCTCCGGGCAGGACCTTGGAACGCTTCTCTGGGGGCTTCTCCTCTGACAAAGAATCGGAAGGCAAACCCAGAAGAATCGCGCGGTGTTGGCCGTCCGGACAAATGGCGTGAACTTTACCTTTGGTGAAATCATCCATCTCGCAGTCAAAACCTTCACTATAAAGGCTGGATGGGAGAGAGTGATGTCATGGCGTTGGGGAGGCAAAGTGTGGAAAGTTTTGGTCAGAGCAACCAGGAACAGATAACCAAGGCGCTGTAGACCAGCCGAGATTTTCCGCTGCGAACTGTTGGAGGGAAGGCGCTGAACTTGGTGCTGAACGGTGGCTCCTCAACTTGCAGTGCTGATCTGAAGCAAGGCGATCCACACCCCAACACACCCGGTCCATGCTCAGCTCCACCACGCAGTCGGGAGCCCTTGAAGTGTCATCTGCGGCAGCTTGTTCTGCAGACATGAGCCCACCGCTAATGAGGTGGCAGTCGCCTCAGTGTAAGTTGTCTTTTCTGCATGCTGCCAGCCATCTGTCCAACTTCCCTTCCAGGTGGCCCAGACTTGCCGTGTGCTGGCCCTTGCAGTGCGCAGAAAAGTCCGCACCATCCTCTGGGTGGCTTCAAGCAGTACTGCTACATGTGGCTGCATGTCTCCACACATCAATCACATGCCCCTTGCCTTGAAATCTTGCCCATGCAGATGCTGCAGTTCTGAAGGGGCAGATGTCACCTCTTGGTCAACTGGTTGACGATACGCTGACATGTTGACCTATCTTTTGACATGCCAGGCCCGGAAAGGCACAGGCAAGGCAGATGAGCGCCGCAGCTGAAGACGCAAGCGATCTCGCATAGTCAGATCACGCAAGTCCTCCTTCCAGGGCATCTCAAGACCGGGATTCGCAGGTTGCTAACATGAGATTCCTCAACATTTTTCTGGAAGACTTGTCGGACATGCGCTTGAACCATGGCATCCACCTCGGCTGCGGCAGCTTGCATATGTTGGCAAGGCATGCACCTGGCAAACTTTCAGCCAGTCATGCGCTAACTGCCTACCAAAACGGTGAAATCATCCATGGCAACCGTTAGAACCTTTGCAGGTTGTTCTCGCGAGGCTGAAGCTGTATGCAACTTTGCCCAGCCCGTGCTGGGCAATCCTCCATGCCGCCAAAGCGGCTGTTAACGGTGACGCGTGCCCCAACGCTTTCGCCGCGGCTACCTCAGGCACTTCAAGTCTGCCCAAGAAACCAGGAAGTGAAGGAGTATGCCAAGCATGCATTCCAATGCAGCTCGGATACCGGATCCCCTGCACGGATATGAGCACTGGCAGCAGCCACCGCCTGCGAGATGTCAAATAGCTTTAGTCCCGCCTGAAGGTCTGGACATGCGGCCCTGAGTGCAGCATGCACTGCATGTGTACGTATTTGCAGTTCAACACGTTGCCTCGTGAGCAGTCATGGGAGGCACATCTCCTGGCAGCTTGTCGCATCTTGGTCAGCAGAGCCATGTCAACTGTCCACACAGAGGGAGATAAAGCAAGCCCAAGCACAACCCCGCACATCTTCCTGCGATTGATGTCATGTGCCTACCTGCCTCCTGAAATTGCTACGCGAGCAGGCACTTAATCGTGCAATTCCAGGTTGCTAAGACAAAGGTCTGCTTGCGGCATGCAAGCATGCCTTTGGAGTCGGGTGCTGAAGCTCGTTGCAGTTTGGAGCACGCACACCCGCAACGGCAAACATCCAGTATCGACGTACCACAACATGTAGGCCTCGAAGGAGCAGAACTACTCCAGAACGTAAGCGGACACCTCAAGCTTTGGCTTGTCACGACTTGTCAAGCTGAAGCAGCTCAGACGGAGTGACTGAACTTGGTTGGTCCCTCAGCAGAGTAGAACCCCATCTGGTGGCAAGCCAGCTTAGTGAGCCCATACAGTATCGGCATCAAGCAAATCCGCGACAGGCAAAGCCAAAGCATTGGACCGCTGGAGATTTCATAGGCCGATGTTTTCATCTGCTCAATATGCTGATTCACTCATTCCTTGCTTGAATGCATGAAGCTCTTGGCCACCCCACGGCTGCCAGCAGTCGCGCCGAGGGCAGCCACCGTCAGCTCGCATCCACGCACCGACTTCTCGGGAGCCACAGCGCACCAGCGGGCCAAGACCTTAAGGCCGGTATATCAAGCGACTCCCCCAAGCACAAAGTTGGCAGAAGCAGTTGCAGCCATATAACATACCTGCTTGGCAGGGCTGCCCCGCCAGCACTACTGCCAGCCCTACGGCCAGCCCTATCCTGCCTTCGCCTCTTAACTTGCTGCCTGGCGCGCAGCTGCATGAGTCACTCAGCTGCGGCCAGGACGCTTTGTCGGCAACGTGTGCTTTCGTCTTCCGAGGTGTGGCGCCTGAACCACCGTCTGTTTTCGCAGGCGACTCGTCCAGACCTGGTGAAGACGATGGTAAACAAATTTCCGATGCTTCTGCATGGCCCAGGATTTTCAGCATAAGACCTGCATCGATTTGTGTACGCAAGTGTCCAAGCTTGAAACAAGCTCCCAGCCTTGTGCTCGAGCAGCTCCGTCCTCGCTCGTCTTCAATCTCTTGGGCGGCGAAAGTTGCTCCTATGTTGTTGTGGCATGCAGTCCTGCTGGAATGTCTCTTGCAAAAGACATTCAAGGTCCTCCTCGCTACCTGCATCCAAGTCCAGTGCTTCAGATCCAGCCCGCAGCTGGCAGCCAAAGGTTCGGCTGCCGCTGCACGATGCCATGTGTCCAACATTGATTTCAAAGATGTAACAGAATCGCATACCGTTCGTACGAGGTCACGTGCTATGAGTCATGGCGTCCTCCTCCTGTTTGCCTTATGCTGCGGGCCGTTCTTCAAAGGTCGATGAACATGCAGGAGGACTGCGCAAACTGTGCATATAGTAAAAGTGGAGCTGCTCATTTGCCGCATGTTCACATCTCTTCAGATCTCAAGCTAATCTGAAGCCAGCTGGCACTGCGACCGATACCCATCCCGACAACAAAATGAAGAAAGGCTAGCCCGTGCCCTTGTACGCGAAACAACCCCACAGCTCCCTTCCCCGGAGGATGGAATTAATTGTATTGATATTACAAGGGCCAGGTTGTTGTTTAATGCCCTTACGCTTCAGCCTGAAGCATCTTTAACATCCCTGTAGCAGCACCCCCAAAAACACGAGAGGTCATAAACAAAATGTCAAAATGTCCATAATCCGGAGATGTGCTCAGAAAATGCACATCACTGCTGCTGCTGCTATTGCTGCGATTGTTGCTGCTGCTGCTGTTGCTGCTGCTCCTTTTTCATTGCCTGTGAGCCTGCCGATGCCAGCATTGCTAGGCAAGCCAGACTATGCCAGATTGCGCCGCAGACAAGTCTTGGCTCCCCGCATCTCCTCGATACGCGGGACGGCTGCGTTCCAGTCCAGCCTTGTGCGCTCCAAGTCTTCGACTCTGCCGCAAATCAATCACGTCTGCAATCATTCTAGCAACTTACTGGTTCTTGGTAGGGAATAAGGGAAGGCAATCCCTATACAATCCCCAAAAAAATATATTCCCTTATTCCCTACAAAGAACCAGCAAAGTAATGATTGGTGGGCCGGGATGGTCATAACACAGTTCAAATTCTACGAAACCCTTTTTCAAATCACGGACTGAGCATCTGACAAGGTATCACCGGAAGTTAATTAGAGGTCTCGAGGCATTCACGAGACAACGCAACAGCATGCACCACAAGCATGTGCGCAACGGCCTGCCATCCGTCACACCTCTTTTTCGGATCGTCTAGTAGAAACCCTAAAGGCCTAAACCCTAAATCTGAACCCTAAAACCAGACACCCTTTTTGCATCTGGAACTCCCTCAGGCTGTGCTAGACTGAAAGGCACTCCATCATACAGCGCTGCTGGCTGCTGGCTGCAAGTGACCAAGCTCCCTCCAGAAAATCTACAGGAACAACCTCATACAACAACGCCACATCTCTGAAAGCAAGCTGGTGATGCCAGACACCCTAAAACCCCAAGCCTAAAACCCTAAACCCTAAAACCCTGAACCCTAAAGCCAGAAACCCCAAAAACCCTGAACCCTAAACCCCAAAACCCTAAACCCTGAACCGCATCCTCCAAGGCACAGACTCGGAGGATGACCCAGCATCTGCACTCGTTCCGTTGAGGCCTTTGGAGACGCCTGGTTGCTTTTGACTTACTTGCGGGGGTCAGTAAGGAAGAAGGGTTAATACTAGATGGGTTTTGTATAGGGATTACATTCCCTTCTTCCCTACTAAGAATTAATTAGTTCAGTGGGCTTTGCTGAACCTCACAGACAGCTTGACAGACCAGCGCCTGGCAAAAGAGGCGAAACCTGGAGGGCAGCGTGCAATCCGATCAAGCACAGCAACAAAAAACAAGCTTACACTTGAATGAAAAGATTCCCGTCAGTCAACTGGAGATCCGGGCCTTTGTTCTCCTCTGCTTCGGGTCGTCTGCCTCGGGGTAGTGCTGAACCCAGCAGACTTGTCATCTTGTCATCCTTCGAGTGGGTTCCCGACATCGGCCCTCGGCGTGCCTTCGCGCGACCTGCAGAACTCTTAGAATGCACTTGTCTCTAGGCTGTAGACGACGAACTCGACAGCCACATTCTGCGCAACCTGTTACTCGCAGCATCTGTTCTTCGCTTTGCCCACAGGAAGACAAGCAAGACATAGGAAGCCCGGAGTGCAGTGCGCGCCTTAAGTGCATGGATGCGGAGGCGACGGAAGCCGCAATTTCAGCTCCCACCCGCTGGCTGAAGGCAGAGCTGTGCGTCAAAGCCTCTTCTTTCCCAGCACCGGAGGTTTGCACCTAGCCTTCCTTTCTGCCAGCACATGACCTACAGCTCGCAAGCAAACACCTGAAGGTTCTTCCAGCCCCTTCATCCCAAACTTACAGCCCTGCCAACTGGCGGAGCAAGAACTTGTCCGTCTTTTGAGCAGCCAGACAAACAATGTATGGCTGCAAAGTAAAACACTGTTTGTTGCTTCTAAATGCCTCAGCCTCGTAATCAAGGCCATGCTTAGTCCTGTGTGACAGAGTGCCGTGCTCCAGGACTCAGAGTCAAATTGGCAGGCCTGGCATGATGTTTGATTTCAGTGTGGCAACGCCCACTGACATACAGCACAAAACACAGCTGAACCAGGGCGGTAAGACAAATCAGGGAGAAGCGCAGAGCGGTTTGCCTGCAAAAGCTGACAAGAAGAATAACATCATGTCTGAGCAGATGTGCCAAACATGCCGCATCCCATGAGAGCATGCTTTGACTGCCACTCTGCGGAGGAGAGGTTTATGGTGGTAGCTGGCAAAAATCTTGGCTGGCCGCCTCCCCCACCAAGACGAGTTACGTCTGGCCCCTGAGAATAAAGTGAAAGCCTCTGTGGAGGCTGGTAATGCACTGCATATGAAGTAGACCTTGCACTCGATTTTGAATCGGATCTTTGCGGCCCCGGTCTTGAGGCACCATGAGTCTGCTTTGCCTTTTTCAAGCCCTGCACATGCATGGTTTCAAGGGGCGCTTCTTGATTCAGCTGCATGTGTGCAGTGCTTGGGGCTGACATTGACAGGATGACACGACAATGCCCAGCAAAGTTCAGAGACGTCACCATGAGTCCGACTAGCACCGTTCGTCCCCGCTAATGCTACAACATGGCTGGTTTGGTCAAGCGTTCTCGTGAAACTTGTTGCATGGCATGGACTGTGAACGTTCGAATTTATAAAAAAGGGGGGGCACATCGCCCCCAGCATCCCTGAGATAGTAATGTTTCGGAATGAGCTTCCAAGGTTCATGCAGAAAGTGCAGCCTGCTTGCTGTAGGCTTCCCGCAGCTCAATTGTCAACTCCTGCAGGCATGTCTTCCCATCAAAAGACTGAAGCACGCGCTACAAGCCATGCATGCGAGACCAGTGGCAAAGAAAAGCTTGCGGTGAATGCAATGCAAACCCACACCTCCTTGGTCTGAAGTTCTTTCTGGAGAGTCTCATAGGCCTGGCATTATGTGCTCACATGTTCTCAAGAGCACTGTAGCTCGCTCGCTATGGATCTTGCCAATTACAAATGATGCTATGCAGGCCCCACAAGGCTGAAACTGCGCGCTCTTTGAAAACCGCACTGGGGAATGCAGAGTGTCGTTGCCTTCTCCAATCTCCCTTCCAGGAGGATCTTCTCCTCCACCAAGCAGTTTTGCGCCTGTCTGTCTTCAAAATGCATTTCAAAACTCGCCCGCTACCGCCGCAAAAACGAAACTTGTTCCTACAATGTGCCTGCTGGAGTTCAAACGCTATGGCGCTGATCTCGGCCACCTGCCCGAAAGCCTCGCGAGAAGGAAGGCATTGCCCAAGAACATGGAAGGAGAGGCTTCTTCTCGCAACATGAGCGCAAGTCTCCCCACCCCTCTTGCACTGCGGCTACCTGGAAGAATGTTGTCTGGTGCCTGCTCTCTTTTTTCCTCCATGAAGCAGAGGCGCCAAAGCACAAAGACCTGTGATCGGAGACGGGCAAACCATAGACAATTGACAGGAGTATTACGTCTACGCTCGTCTATGCGCAGCATGCAATCTTGCTATCTGAAAGCTGATGCTGAGAGTGGGTCCAAGTTCAGCCTGCTTGACTGTTCATGTGCAAGAATGGCTTCACAGCTGCCCAGCACTGACGTTTCCGTCTCATCTGTAAGTACTACTCAAAGCCTGTGCTGTCCTGCACAGAATCTCCACAGAACAAATGTTATTCAAGGTGTGCGCATTCGGTCATAAGGAGTTTCGCGCAGTCCAACTGCATCGGAAGTTTCAGCAGGTCCTGTTCTAGCTGCTGACTGGCATAGCATTCGCAGCAGGCAACTTGTGTCTTCCAACAAGCCGATTCCTTGTGGCTAGTTGCTAGTTCTCGTTTTGGGAATCCCACAAACGGATCATGCGTATTTCGTTTAGGTGCCAACTCTAGAATATGCTGAGATCTGTCTGCATCGACAATGGACGCAGCTCTCACGCGGGCAGGCAGCGGCCTTTGGATGTCCATGCTTTCGTGGAGAGCCTGCAATTTTGCAGCGACGAGTTGAATTGCAGGCCGCCGAACCCGCCCAGAAGATCATCTAACAAGGGACACCTGCAGAGGACCCGGGCCACCTGCGGCACCCCCTAAATCCCGGCCCTCATCCCAAACCGGACCACTTTCGTGCATATGAACGAAGCTCCCTCTGACGATCATGATTCGGGAGGATCTGGACCACCCAATGACTCGTTCAACACCAAATCCAAGAATCCCAATGTCATCCCGACATAGTCGATGACTGAATTGTCCTCACCGCATCCCTGTAGAGCCCCCATAGTTTCAACCTTTATGCCCCTTTTGGTTTGAAAGAAACCCTCATCCAAACATGATAGATAGACCCGAACCCTACAGTCCCTACACAATCCGCATGTAATTTTAGGAAGCAGGGGAGGAACTGACAGTTGGCTTTGCGCTGGGCCTTGGTGTTGGCCCGGGCGTGCACAACGTCCAGGTGCTGGCGCCATCCTGGGGATTCTCTGGCGCCCTGCTGAGATTCTACTCATCGCAGCTTTTGTAAATACAGAGCAGCTATTGTAAATAAAGCCGGGAACAGTAGCGAATAGCAGTTGGTGCAGAAGCACTTCTTCTTTTAGCACTTCTTAGCACTGCTACCACCAGCAACAGCAGTAGAGGTGGCGGTGGTGCCAGCGGCGGTGATAGCAGGACCTATAGCGTCCTGAAACTCAACAAGTCCACAGGTCCACAGAACCTCATGCAATCATTCTTCAGTCGTCGGTCCAAAGCAGCTTCATGGGTCACACCACCCCAAAAGGATGAAGGCCTGCCTAGCCTAGCACTAACGGACTACAGCCCGCATGTTGCGGCAGATCAAGATCAGGGGCCGAGCCATGAAGACACAATCTCAACGTCGCAAGAAGGAGCTTCTCCTCGCAGCTCTCATGACAAGTTCTGTTATCTAAATGCTTTGACGCCCATTCTTCCCTTCTTGCTCAAGCGCCTAGGGGCCTGGAGCAACAAAGCATTTGGCAGCAACGCTCTGCAAAAACCCACTATTGACGCTACTGTGCTGCTACCCAGAAAATATTTGCCAGTATGCCAGCATGCTCCAGCAGTGTTCACTCACGTCCCGAAGACAGCGCTCCTCCAGCGTTCCAGCCTTGAGAGTTATGTTCTGCATGTATCCCCTTCTGCTGGGATCTGAAGCTTGGAGGCTACACTGGCCATAGACAGATTTGTGCGCCTGTTGATCTTCACCCGCGGCATCTATTACGACAACTGTTTCTCCAAGTCCAGGACGCCACGAATCTTGCGACCATTCGAAGCTGTCACCTGCAATACACTTTTACTAGTCCGGCATGGTGTGAACAGACTAGGCGAGTCGGCATGAGAAATCAACCACCTCTTGTACAGTGGGCCCTTGCTAAAAGGACCCCGAAGCAGCAAAGGTGCCCATACTCCCCAAAAACCCTCTGAGAGGGTCTTGGGGGCCCCTTCGGGGCACTAGGAATGCATGGGATCGCTAAGGGCATCATGGGGTCCCTATTCGTGATCATACATGTGATACTTTGAGAAAGTCCCACCGTCTCGCATCCTGACCTAGAGACTCTCCTGCGCACCTCGGTGTACTTGTGCCAGTCTTTGACCACGGTGGCCTCTCAGTTGTAGGGAGATTCTTGGGGGAAGCACGATGGTCAGTGTGGGTATCCCAGGCTGTGTCCAAAAGATGCGCATGCATTAGCGGAACAGCTTGGGCAGCCATGTCTTGGAACAAGAGCGAAAGTGAATTCCTGCTTGATGAGTGATGCATGTCCACGGATGGCAAGTGGAACCGAGCCCAAGTCCATGAGGCCCTTGGTCTGTCCCTTTTCCCATTGGGACAATGTAAGCTCGACCACCTCAGAGTTGGCAGCGCCATCTGCAAGTGAGGTGATCCAGGCATAGTGTGCGCTGTGGCCAAGGCAGCATGCGCCCGCTCATGCTTCAGCTCCCGCTTCGTTTCTCTTGCAAGGCGCCTGGAGCTGAGCAGCGTTCCACGTTTTATGGTCAAGCTTTTACTTCCTGTGCACATCTGCTTACAGTGTGGTTCGGTGGATGACTTTGATTAGCATTCGCTCCCTGCAAGAATGGTGCTGAAACGCGCTCACTGTTTTCGCCCTCACTTCATGCCGTTTATGTCGTTGGGCAACTTCATGTATAGCGATGTCAGCTCCTGCATAAGCCGCGATGCCAGGACATCCTGTCTCCTTGACGTATCAGGGGCAAACACCGCAAGCCTCCGCTCAAATCAATTCATGCTGGAAGGCCCTCTGTGCTGCCATTTGGCGGGGCGCATTTGCTCACCTCCGGAACTAGACTGCTGGCTCTGGTTAGGGCCGTTGCTCCAAGGACAATGGTGCCAAGTTTGATTGCGAAACCGTACGAGTGTCATCCTGTAAGCTTGAGATGAAACTTGCATAGCCCTCACAGCCAGAGTTTGCAGTCTGGATGTGGCGCCCTCGGCATGCTTACTTTACGACCATGCAGCGTCTCCCTTTTAGAGCAGCTGCCACACACTCACAGCCTCGTAGCATGGCTGTTGAATCATGTTGAATCCAAGCCTGTGTCACTGTGCTGTCTGGCCAGCAAATGAGGCAGCCGAGCAGTTTGAGAACTGTAGGGACGGCAACGTTCGGGGAAGGAGATTCCTCGAAAGAGGGGTGGACAGCAGCAAGCTGAAACAGCTAGGCTTTTTCCGGGTCCTTATTGAAACATCCACGGCACATCCAGGCTGCTGTCCACCATAAAACCTTCCTTGGCATCTTGTGGCCTCATGCCTTTTTCCTTCTAAGCGGGCAACCCTCCGCATGTTCCACAATGTACCGGAAAGTGGCATTGATGCGAGCTTGACGTGTTGAGCCTTTGGCAATCTGGTGCAGGTAATGCTTCTGGAAGAGTCCTGGCCACTTCAATAGCTGCAAGGCCAGGACAAGCTTGACTGCCGGGATGCATTTGCGCCGCCGATATGAGTCTCAAACTTCACTTCCAGCTACAAACCCATGGGCTGCCCAGTTTCTCAACTTCCCCAAGCAGGACTGCTGTACCATATGGCGGTTGATCAACAAAATTCTGATCCCAAAATGACCATCATGGAATTTGCCAGGACCCCGAAATAACTTCCCTGCGTGATTCAGATCAACCCTCGCATCCCGGATGGCAAGTTTCCGTGAAACCCCTGGAGTTTGAGCTATGGCTCCGAATAGCTAATTGCCGGCACGCCCCAACATCTCACGGAACATTTTTTCGGAGGGAATGCTCGTAAGTATGAGACCTCCCCCAACGTGCCTTCCATGGTGCAGATTTGACCGTGGCCCAAGTTGAAATTGCCAACGCTGCCCTTCTCAGGCTTTAAGATGCCGCCTGAACATGGGCGTCTCTCAAAGTGAGGGTCTCCTCGATACCAAAAATCGAGTCAGTCACTGTTTTTGCCTGAGGGTTTGGGTCATGCGGTTTAGACTTCAAGGTGGCCGATAGTTTTTGAGAATGACTCACATGATACCTGTACATGTAGTTGCACCCGCCTCCGGCATCAAGCAGTGATAGCACACCCTACTGTGACACAACACTTGAATCAGGATGCGTGGGCAGGCAATTATTGTCGCAGAAAAGGACCGTTTGTTCACACGGCTTTGTCACCCAAGGTTGTATGCTGTTGTGGGCTTGCTACTAAGATGTACTGAAAGACTGACAGGACTCTGCGTCGCCTGCCTCTTCTGGGCGCCTTCAGGCCCACTTGGAACTTGCGCATGGCCCCAAGGGTTACGGAGATTATTCTTGCGTCCTGCAAATCCAAACGATGTTCTGCAAATTGCGAATAAGCTGCCTACATCTGCCTCTCTCGCCCCATCTAGCATGGTCTGGGAGCAATGTCCTGGAACTTGCCGCGAAATAGTGGCTCGTCATCCGAGTGCCATGCAACCTCCGATGCTTCAATCAACTCGCTGCCACTGCAGCATGTGCTGAACATGTGGCTAATTGGGTGGAGTTGTTTGTTCTTCCTGTTATTGTTATTTTTTTTGTTTTGCTTCTTGTTTTCCTTTTGGGGAAGACGTTTCACGTGAGAGCTCAATGTCGAGGCCAAACGTGAGGACGCTCCTCGCCGGAGCTTGCTTTTCAGCAAGAAAAGCGAGGATGCTCCCTCCATGTCAGCGAAAATGCCAGGACTCCTCACGCCAGTGCTTGCTTTTGCACAAAAGAGTGAGGATGCTCCACAATTTGGAGGGGAAATGTGAGGACACTCCACTTGAGAGTTCGACTTCCCCAGGTCAGCAGTACAGTACTGAGGCAACCAAAAGTAAGTCGATCCACGCGAGAGCTCGATTTCCAAAGCGTAGTAGTAATAGGAATCATAGCATGGAAACAAACATTAATGATAACATGGAAACAAACATTAATGATAACATTGAATAGTATGTACTAGTGATAATAGTAACAAGAAACTTACTAAAACCATCTAAAACCATAACAACACTGATCGTATCATGATAAGATTAAAAATACTTCTGGTACTCATATTAATAACAGTAACAATGGCGATACGAGTGATAATAGGAATAACAAAAAAAGTACTTATAATCATAATAGTCATAATTAGGCGGTTCTTGCATAGCGTTCGGCCTGATGGTCGCCAGTCTCGTACAAGTTCAAGTTCACGCAGTCCGGGAACATCGAGTCCTTGTCCTGAGGCCATGCAGTTCGTGAGGGCAGCAAATGTAAGGTCCCTGATCAAGTCTTTTGGGAGCAGCAATGCGTACCCGGAATACTCGTCCCTGTGAGAACTTCTTGCAGATTGAGTCCTCACCGGTCAAGTTGAGGCAACCGAGCCAGCGCCTCGCCATCTCCAGGAACCAGTCAGGGAAAGTCATAGCATCAACCTGCTGCTTGCCGTAATTGTAGGGGCACCTGCACAAGTCAGCGAAACTCTGGATTCTCGGAAGGCCAAGCAATCCGAGCCCATGCTCTCATATCCAAAAAAGCTCCCACATGGCCTGCAGCCCTCTCTCACCAGCCACATCGTCTTACGCGTCATTGCCGATGCCCCATGGATTTCCAACCAGTCGACTTTTGACTTTAAATCCGTGAAGTCCTGCTGAGTGACGTTCTTCTCTTGACACATGTACATCCTGGGCTCATTGAGGCAAAGTCCTAGTGGGAACAACCCTTCATTGGAAAATCTGGGTGAGACTGTATCATGCATGCACAGCTAGCCGGGAGCATTTCTCGAAACACCTCCACGCAGCGCCGAGGGTCCAAGATCGGTTGTGCACATCTTCAATGCATGGGATCCAGCTCCTAAGATCAGGGCAGAACAGGCCGAAGTTCTGTTTTGCGCACATCTTACCCTTTGTACTTGTGAACGAGGTGACCCATTCCAGAATGCAACCGGTGTGTTGTGAGCCTTTTTTGGGGAAATTCTGATTTATGGATGTATATCCTTCACCTCTTCAATTGCCATGCAACATGCGCCATCACATGCAACCCAGGCTGGTGAGTTTATGTTAAGCCGTCCCAGCGCAGCACGGAGAGAACAACTCGCCCCATCATGCGCAAGTATCTGGAGAGCTGTACTAACGACGTAAAGCCAGACGGGCCATACAAGAATCGCTGAAAACTTCTGCTATTCACCGAGAGTCTTCGGATTTGACGCGCGCTCCACTAATAGCTGCAAGGGCTTTGCCTCTCGTGTAGCCTGGACGGCAGTAGGCGGTTCAGAGCTGTACCTTCTGAACATGAAAGGTACGTGATGCAAGCAATCTCGCTTTTCTTTTGCTCCATACACTCAGTGTAGCTTTAGCGGTGTGTCGTACTTCTATCCACCTACTCGTATTGCTAGTAGTACTCGTACCGTGCTACTTCAAATGGCATGCATGCTATGCACTGAGCCAGGCTTACGATAGAATCAGCGGTTGCCCCGCCCTCCGACATCGATCTCATGAGACACGTGGGCCTCCGGGTTGGCTTCGCGCTTGGCCTTATTCTCCGCTTCTTTGATATCAGAGAGCTCCCTGGGGGTCAGCTCTGATCCATCCTCTTTCACCTTAGCGAGCTGCACCTTCCGAACGCGGCCCCTGCCACAGAAACGAAGACAAGCAGCTGGAGGCGGCTTCTTCTCCTGCGCCTTTGCTTTTGGTTTCGCCTTGGGCTTCTTCTCGGGTCGTTTCATCATTCGCCGCAACCCTGGCAGGTCAGAACAAGATCAGCTGCTAGAAAGTCTCAAAGAGCAGTAGGTATGAACACTTGCAAGCTGCAAGTACCGCAGCCAAGGCTCGAAGCGGAGAGCGGCGCGGTGAGCGGCTTCTGCGCGGCAGTGCCCCATAGCCGGGCTGCGGTTGCGCATACTGGGGTGGCGGTGGCGGGTAATAACCCGGAGGGGGTGCTCCATAGACTGGTGGCGGGTAATGTGGTGGCGCATACCCTGGAGGAGGATACGCCACGGGCACTGGTGGCGGAGCACCCTGTGGGGGAGGGTAACCGGGTGGAGGCTGGCTGTAGCCTGGTGGCGGTGGTGGTGGTGCTGCATACTCTGGTGCTGGAGGTGGATAAGCTGCAGGAGGCGGTTGGGAACTGTAAGCGTGAGGTGGTGGGTAAGCGCTGGGTGGTGGTGCACTGTGCGGTGGAGCACTGGGTGGTGGAGCACCTGCATGAGCATATGGATCACGGTAAGGATCCCTGTAGGGGTCTCGGTACGGATCTCGGTCTCGATCTCGATAGGGATCTTGATACGGATCATGGTAAGGGTCCCGGTAGGGATCACGGTATGGATCACGGGCGGCTGGCGGTGGAGCCGCGTAGGGGTCTGGGGGAGGGGCGCTGTATTGAGGAGGCATGCTAGGAGGTGGGCCTGCTTGAGGCGGCGGATACTCGGGTGGAGGGTAAGCATGTGGAACAGGCTGGCTGTACACAGGCGGCGGCGCTTGCGGCGGTGCCCCATTCACATGAGCTGGATAGCCTGGTGGCGCTGCGTACGCCGGAGGAG